AGGGTGCGGGGGTGATGCTGGTGATGTCGGGGGGGCTGGTCGGCGACGAAGGGCGAGGCCGGGGGGACTGGTCGGCGGCGGCAAGCCGGCCTGACAGGTGGTGGGGTAAGTGGTAGCTGGGTTCCGGTTCCGGCGAGGAGGTAGGGCGAGGGACAGGTCGACAGCGAGGGGGTAGGGCAGGGGACAGGTCGGCGGGCAAAGGGAAGGTGAACAGATCTGGTTCGGCGAGGCAAAGGGAAGGTGAACGGATCTGGTTCAGATGGGGGAGATAGGTCTGGAGAAGGGGTGGGGGTGGGGGTAGGTGTGTACTTACCTGGGTTCCGCCGCCGCCCGCCGCCGTCGGACTACCGTCTAAACCGCCGGTAGGGAGGACGGGTGCTGTCGACGCACCGGCGACTACTCCGAGGAAGAAGAGTAACCGTTAGAGATGGCAGAGCAGAGGAGAGAGAAAGAGCAGAGGAGAGAGAAAAGAAAAAGAAAAGTGTTAGAGATAGTCATTATTTTTGTGTTATCCGATTAACCAATATCAAAACATGTCACTAGACATAATGTTGATGTCAAATTATACTTTTAGCCTTTAAATTGACACCAACATGACAGAAGATCAAAAAAAGGACCATTTGTGGAAAAGCGCCCTTAAAAAAAGGACTACATGGGTAATATTTGACAATAAAGGACTAAATATGGAAACCCCCATGTTATAAAGGACCAACACAGGTGCGATGTGAGGCACCCTATTTTGCTAAAGAGTGATGTGTACATGGTCTACACATTTAAAATGTAGATCTTCTCAACATTTTTCATGAATTTTCATATAGATATTTTTCTATTTTGTAAAAACCCACTTCGTTTATGCTACAAATGCATTAAAGTCCATAAAATGAGCATAGACCTTAGGTCCACGAAAGAATTTGCCTTTGCGCCCCGCTAAAGCGTTTGCAACTTTGCTGGCTTCTTTAACACTATATTTGGTTCAAGAAATTGGCAAGAAAAGAAAAGAAAATGGTTTTCTCTCATTTTCCTCACATTTCCTCTTAGTACATTTTGCCTTCTCATTTTCTTTTCCTTCCACTTTTCTTTTCTTTTCCTCTCTAACCAAATAAGAAATATATTTTCTTTCTCATTTTCTTTTCCTTTCCCTCTCAAATTCTTTGAACCAAACATAGTGTAAGCGTGCGAGTAAGGCTGATGTTCTTGGAAAAGCAACTTTACTTGACGAATATTCTTGCTACGGAGTAACATACCCCTTCCCAACCATACAAGATTTGGAAACATATTGATGGAATTTAATCATCTCTTTACATACCTATGTACACGCTAAGGACACCGCAGTCTTTCATATCAGACAGTAATTTGCAACTAGGTGAAGTCATTATTATATATGTCATTCATTGCTTTCCATAGGGGAGATCCCTCCATGAGGTGTTGCTTCGATTCCCGTGCTTTGAAGCTCCGTCTGCCAAAACGAAGTTAAAACAAAAATGAAATTTGACTTTAATCGTTGGTGCACGCCTCACTACCCAGTAAGGTCCCACCCGTGAGGATCGGAGGGTGGGTGGACAGAGACCTTGCCCCTATCTATAGAGGTAGAAAGACAGTTTCCATAACACCCTCAACTCAAAAGAATATAAAAGAGTCTATAAATGGTCCCTAATTAATACAAGTGACTTTCCATATTTAGACCTCAATTTATAAGATATTACATAAATGATCCTCGAGTTTTTAAAATTATTCCATAAATAGCCTTTTAAGCCAAATATGACAAAACATTTTTCCACTAATAGTCCACAAAGAACAGATTATGGAATAGTTTTCAAAAATTGAAGACCATTTATGTAATATATTATAATTGGAGACTAAATATAGAAAAACCACTTGTTGTTAGAGGCTATATATGGAATTTACTCAACATAAAAAAACAGGATAGAACAATTGAGTATTAAAAGATGAGCTGTAAGGGGTAAAGGAAGGAAGAGTATATAACAACACACAAATATATAGATAAAAAAAGCCTACAAAGCCACCCACACATCTACCACCTAAACTCCCTCTTACACTAAATTTTAAAAAATGGATGCATTGCCATACCTTAGCCTGTCGATAGTTTTCAAGAATGCGATAATACTGTTGGCGTGCCTGTGGAGATTCTACGATTGACATGACCCTTGAGACGGCCTCATTAACTGTTGCATCCACTTTCTGCTTGCGGAAAACTTTGAGGATGTCTTCATCCTCAGTTTCATCAATGGATTCTGCCTCAGGTTGAAATCCCCTAAGTCCATTTCCCCTTCTACGCCACCTAAGTACTGCCTTTTCTAAAATTCCCACAGCCCAGCAGACCTTGTAGTGCTTTCTAACCTGGTAGCCTCGTACATGAGCCTGCCAAGTCAATTCAGAGTATGTAAGTATTCTTTTTCTTTATTATAATTTGTCCTAAAGTTTTAGGGACCAATGATCGAATGGAAACTCTCGCAAGGGAAAACTTTCCTGTTTCAGACAAGTTTCACACCAACAAACTACAGTAAAATGGTTTAGGGTCATTTTCTATGTTACAAAAAAAACGGCCCAGAAAGATGCCACAAGTGAAGCTTGGGAGGGGAGGGCGTATGCAAACTTTACCCCAACTAAAATGGTAGAGATGTTTCCAAAAGACCTCAGCACAAGAATATGTAAAAACTGATTTCTCTTTGACATAATTGCAAATGAAAAAGCTCAAGGACCACCTCGATATTCGCGATCGAATTCCTCTAAGATAGTATAAGAATCTTTTGGGCATTATACTTTCTATTCAAAAGAACTCTATAGTATAAAAGGTTATACTTTTAATCATAGAACAAATGGACATCTAACTTTAACAATTGACATAATTATGCACATCTAAGAAATATACATGCATACCAACCCTTACCACCCCCTCCACAACCACGTATTTTAGCACATTTTCTGAGTTTCAAATCCAGTTTTTAAGAAGAATGTTGTGTCTTTTTTCGGGTTTATTTGTGACATTACTAGTGACTTCAACCTCAATTGATGTTATTATGATGCAAATCGACGCTTTGTATGATTAATCGATTATGCCAACTTGACTTGTTTAGAACTTTGACAAGGGAGGTAGAGAAACCATGGAAGAGGCTAAGCACCTGTATCTTTACTACTTTGTGACGGAAAGTCAGAAAGTCCTTCCGCCCTTTCCATCCTCGATATTTCTTTTGAATGGCTAAAGCTGCTGAGTTATAATTGCGTGTTGAACGGAATGCTGAGCTGGATACAGCTGAAACAGACTGAATGCCATCTGAGAGTGTATAATATTCATCCCCAACCGCAAAAGAGGCAGCTTCTTTCAGGTGTTTCTTCCTGAAAGAATGTGCCCGAAATGCAGATTGAATGCGTGCTGCAGCTTGAGCAGCATTCCTGACTGCAGCTAACGTGTGCTTCAATGAAAGCTGATCCTCATTTGTTGGGGGATTTTCTGTGGAGTCTTGAGTAATGATTTTTTCTGCTTCCAAATCAGTAGATCCTTTAGAGAGCTCACTCTCTTCAAATGTGAGGGAGGAGAGATGACTGGTTAGTGCTATTTCTGAAAGATATCCAGCAAGTCCCTCGTGTCCAAAATTGGCAGCAATATAAGCAGGAGTTTTACCGAATGGATCTTGAGTTGTGGGATCGGTAACTGCTCCAGCTGATGCACCAGATGCGATCAGGGCAGCAACCATTCTTTCCCTGTTACAGACAAGGAATTTAAAAAAATGGTAATAACAATAAGCATAAATAAGTAACAGAAAAATACAGTAACACTGAGAAAGAGATCAATCATAAGCGATATTCATGCTCTAGCAGAACAAGCAAAAAGGAAGAGAGCAAAAAGGGGGACATTCATGTAAACATATATGAGTAAAGAACTTTTTTTTCCTTCTGATTGGAAAGGAGAGACAGTTTTCCTCTGAGTTGTATATACTCCATCAGCCAATATATGGGTGTCAAGTTAGTCCTTTAGTTGTACGCAAAGTGATTCTTTTGGTCCTTATTTTTTAAATTTGCGTCCACGATTAAGGGAACATAAAAACGCCCTAATATTTTTAGGGCAATTTTTATAATTTTGAAATTCTTTCTCTCCGTGTCTAGGGACCAGGGACCAAAGGGTTAGCTAAGTTTAGTAGTGTCTTGTTTTGAGACCCTTCTGTCTGCGGTAGCTTTTCCTCTATCTTTTGTTTATTTGTACTTTTTGGACTGTGCTAACTGGTATCTTTTTCTACTTGATTCGGGAGGGGGGGGGGGGTCTTTTGTAAACAGTCCATTACCTCCCAAAACGTGCAGCCCAATGTAAGGCAGTCCAACCACTGATATCACGGAAATTTACACCGACTCCAGCATCTAAAATTGGGTGCAATGCCCACTCAAATCCCAAGCCAGCAACTATGTGAATGATGCCTTGTTCCTTCCTAGACAATATACACCCAGACAAGTTAGTTTTTCCTTCTGATTTTGAA